TAATGCCTATAAAGTCACTCCAACACTGAGAAGTAAAATCATAAAGGTTCCCATTACTCGGCGTGGATTCACTGACACTAAGTTGCACCTTGACATTGGTGCTTTAGTCCCTGGGAGTAAGGGAGTACAACTAGTTCTCATATGTCAATTTTTTTGAAATTAAATAAGTTATTTGAACAGTTCAGTTCTTTTTATCTGAAGCTAAATTCAGTGTCAGCTATTGAGATTTTAGGAAACTTAATTAGTGGTAATTAGTGAGTTTTCTTCTTGACACCATGTTTGAGTAAGAAATTTACACTAGCATCTACTTTTCTTAAAACAAAGAATAAAAGAAATAACTATACTTTTGTATATAATGTGCCTCTCTCCCCTTTTCATTGATTTTTTTTGGTTTTAGCTATGTAGATTATGTCTGAAATGATGGAATAGGTGAAGGTACTAAGTATGGTGGAAAATAAAGCTGTCAAACTTTGGAAGAATATAGATTACAACAGACAGAAGAATATAGATTACCAGAGACAATGGGATCATAACTGAGAAACATAAATTGGGCTTTCCCAACAGGTGCGTTAGATCAATAAACCATTTTAAAAGCTTTCAAAGCTTAAACCCTTAGAAGCTTTTAAGATGCTGTGAATCTGAAAATGTATGTTTTACAGTGACCTGAGAACACTGGTGTAGATTTAGGAGGACGATTTTTAAAGATGGATGATGTCTTAAAATTGTGTGACAATACCATATGACCACATTCTCATACATTGTTAAAGGCACTGATATAAAATACTGGGCTGTCTTGGGCGGCTGTTTTAAATAATAAAGCACAGCATGTAAGATCAGCCTTGGCTGAAACTAAAAGTTTTCCTGCTTCTGTGATGGGTAAAAAAATAACGGATTTCTCAACAGAAATTCAATCAAAGAATGAAGTCCTTGATATCTTTTTGACATGGACAAAAGATAAGCTACAAAAAAATGGTTTTAATTTAGCAATCACAGCAGGAAAGCTGAATGCATAAAATCTTATTTGGGGACCTGGGAATTCATATTACCAGTTTGATTGCTCTCATTTAGAGATTGAACAAACTGAGATTATTTAATGCATCTCAAATTTCAACACTTTTAAACAGAAATAGTCAAAAAATACCACGCATTTTCAGTCAAGTTGAACAAAAAAAATCTTAAGGGATTTTATTTCTTTATTTTGTTGTTATTATGATTTACTTTTTTCCAGCTTTATTAAGATATGATTGACATATACCATCGTGTAAGTTTAATGGAATGATTTGATATACGTATATACTGTCAATTATCATCACAATAAAGTTAGTTAACACATCCATCACCTCACATAATTATAATTTTTTGTTGTTGTGATGAGAATTCTTAAGATATACTCTCTTGGCAACTTTTAAATATGCAATACAGTATTGTTAACTTTAGTCATCGTGCTGTACGTTACATCCCCAGAATTTTTTCATCTTATACCTGGAAATTTGTACCCTCTGGCCACTACCTTCCAACCCCCTACCCTGGAAACCACCAATCTATTCTCTTTTTATGAGTTCAGAATTTTTTTTTTTTTTTAGATTCCACATGTAAGTAGATCATACATATTTGCCTTTCTCTCTCTAACTTATTTCATTTAGCATAATGTCCTCAAGATTCATCCATGTAGTCTAAAAGGTCAGGATTTCCTTCTTTTTTTATGTCTGAATTATATTTCATTGTAATGTATATATATGTATACATACATATGGTGTGTGTGTGTTTGTATATATAATATGTATATACACATGCCACATTTTCTTTATTCATCTATTGATGGACACAAGTTATTTTCATGTCTTGGCTATTATAAATAATGCTGCTAAGAACATGGGGGTGCAGATATTTTGAGATTGTGCTTTTCTTCCCTTCAGATATATACCCTGGATCATATTGTAGTTTTATTTTTAACTTTTTGAGGAACCTCCATATTATTTTCCATAGTGGCTACACCCAATTTACGTTCCCCCCATCAGCACCCTAGAGTTTCCTTTTCTTCATATCCTTGCCAGTACTTGTTAGTGCTTGTCATTTTGGGGATAGCTATGCTAACAGGTGCGAAGTGATATCTCACTGTGGTTTTGATTTGCATTTCCCTGATGATTCGTGATGTTGAGCACTTTTTCATGTACCTATTAGCCATCTCAATATCTTCTCTGGAAACATATCTATTCAGGTAGTTGGATTATTTGCTTTTTTTGCTATCAAGTTGTGTGAATTCCTTATATATTTTGGTAATTAACCCTTTATCAAGATATATGGTTTATAGATATTCTCTCATTCCATAGGCTGCCTTTCATTTTGTTGACTATTTCTTTTGCTGGGCAGAAGCTTTTTAGTTGGATGTAGTCTTGTTTATTTTTGTTTTGTTCCTCGTACTTTAGGTGTCATAGCCATAAAATCATTGCCAAGACCAATGCCCCAGGGCTCTTTCCTGATTGGGAGATTTCAAAACATGTTTCTAAGAGATACTTGAGGCATTGGGTCTCTACATGATATTAAACAGTCTCAAATTCTACAACACTGTAATTGAGATGCGTGGAAACTACAAAACCCACCTTCTTTCCATCCCTTTTGCTTAAAACCCACTGCCTCAGAGTTTTGGTCCAAGTCCTAAACTTGGCCTTTCATCTCCAGTGTTCCCTGATGCACAATTTCCACTTCATCTGCCCACTCACTCTCAGGTTCATCAGTTGGATTCTGTGCACCTACATACCCTGTTTCTGGGAACCAGTAAAGGCTTAGTTATGATGTTTGCCCTGGATTATCTCCCTTACCCACTCATGCGAGCTGGAGTTCCTTTCTCTATCTGTGACTCTTTGAAAACTTTGGGCTGAACTCTGTCTGCCAATATTGCCCTCAGATTATTCTTGCTTTGTAACCTGCTAAGGGAATGCTCTCTGCTTTTAACCATGGATCTCTCAGACATGATTTTATAGTCTGCCTCTCGCTCTGTATGCCTTCAGACAGAATTCAGCGATTACCCCTCCATCTTATCCTCCCTCATTTGTTTTAAAATACATTTTGATCTTGGAATTTTCTTTTTTTCTTTTTTTTTTTAAAGATTTTATTTATTTATTTGAGAGAGAGAATGAGATAGAGACGGAGAGCATGAGAGAGGGGAGGGTCAGAGGGAGAAACAGACTCCCCGCTGAGTGGGGAGCCCGATGCGGGACTCGATCCCGGGACTCCAGGATCATGACCTGAGCCGAAGGCAGTCGCTTAACCAACTGAGCCACCCAGGCGCCCTGATCTTGGAATTTTCTGATACTGTTAACAATTTCGCAAATTCCCAATAGTGGTACCATATGCAAATGATGAATTTTGAATCTTTCAACTGTCATTGTTTGGGGCAGTTATATTACCAGATATTTTTTCTACATAAGTCTGTTTGTATTCATTTCCATGATGGAAAAATTGGGAGAAAGGCAAGCCTGAGCCAACAGCAATGTTGGGAATTGGGCGGATATTTCCCAAATAGGCTATATAGGCTATATTATACCTAAACTCTGTTTCTAGGCTTGGGATATCCATATGGCTGAATTCACCAAAGTCTTTTCATTCTGGCACTCGGGCACATGAGTTATGAGCTCAGTAGAGTGAATCCAGCTTTTAGAAGTAGATTCATATTAACCAAACTCCCGGCACTATGCAAAAGCCAGAAGACCAATGTATTCACATGACAAGCAGAACTATTCTGGTGAGATGAGAATTCTCATGTGAGCTTGACTAGTTCATTCTTTCTCAATTGACTAAAACCAAATCATGATCAAAAATTTGCTTGGTGGGAGAAGAACAAGGTGAGTGAATTTATGATTAAGTTTTTAGTAGATGAGACCAAAACAGCTCAATTAAATCCCTATAGAGATTCCTTGGGCTGTGTTAACTATGATGCTTGTGTTGGTCAGTGCTATCATAGAGGGAGGAAAATAATTTATTGAAAGTCTGTTGGTTAACTCACAAGATCTTGCAAAGACTGGGGAGCCAGAATCAGAAAATGAGCAAGAATAAAATAAGGCCGTGCTAAAGCCATGCTAGCGAGCTCATGGGCAGAATTATGCTGTCTATGGCTATAGTGGGCGCTGGTCACTGGGGCGACCAGTGCACCTCCAACACTGGGTCCCTTACACTCGATGTGCTAGAGCTGTGCTCTGTAGCCAGACAATATCTCTACTCCTTCTGCTTCTATGCTCCCTTAGTTCTGGATTCTGGGTCTGGTAGGTGCTTCCAAATGGCTGAGCCTCCTGCAAGACACATGCCATATGGATATCCCAAGCCTAGAAACAGAGTTTAGGTATTGGGTGGCAAAAGAAAACCAAACTAAACTAAAAATAAAAATAAAAACGGCAAATATTCATTAGAACTCCTTGTGGCTACCACAGGCATCCTCCTCCCCCAGGCAGCGGTAGGTCAGGAACTGCTGACGTTGTCAATGTCAATGTCAGACAGACCGAGTATCAAGTTCCAACTCCGACCCTTTACAGTGTTGGAAAAAGGAATGAAAAGTACTCAGTACACTGCTTGGCACTGGGTAAGTGTTCACTAAACAGAAGTTATTCCTGTTTCCAGTTCTGCACACCCCCTCTTCTCACTCAGCTGTGCTCTCTGCAGAGGGTTAGTCCTAGAGGTCTGGCAGATGACTGTGAGTGGTTCTAGAGTTATCCTTTATGTGCTGGTTTCATAGTTAACCTGTCAGGGGCAAGGAGGTTTTGCTTATTCCCAAGTCGTAGAGAAAGCCTGACTCAGTGTCCACTGACAATGTTTATAAGGGTTGTTATAAAAAGAATAAATAAGGCTACACTCGAGAAAATGCCTTGCATTTTACACAGCATGTTTTACACTAGGGATTTTATAGGTATAAACTTTTATTTCCTTTTCCCTGGAATGTTCTTTTCAGTTTTTGTACTTCAAAATAAAATTAGAAATAAAAATATTAATTGATTTGTAATTTTGCTTACCATCACAAATGCATTCCTTACGCTCTTGTCCTCAGCCATGTAAAATGATCCAGGCCGTGCATCCTGGATGGGGACAGAGCAGTAAATGAGATACACACCCTGTTACATCAGTGCAGGGTAAGATTTACTTTTAATGAGATTTAACAAACCATTTCAAATTTAGAACAAGAAGTCTATTTTTTCCCTCATTCTTGGAAGATATGAACAGATCTCTCCTAGCAAGAAATGCAAAAATATCTCTGCAAGTTTCTTTTTATTTAGCATATAAAATTTATTAAGCATCTGTCCTGTGCCTAAACCATTATAGGATTATGTTATCTAATTTGATTCTCAAAACAGCTCTGTGAAATCGGAGTTATTTATTGTTATCACTGTAAAAAAAGAAA